TGTGTGTGTGTGTGTGTGTGTGTGTATGTGTGAAGATAAATTGTGAATTTTCCTCAATGACCTGGTTTTGATGTTTCTATTCTTTTGTAGCAATGTCACAATAAAAGATTTTAGAAAACATCACTATGATGATTTCATGACTTCACATCTGGTGCTACAGACAAAACTTCAAAGCTGTTGGTTTATTGTCACAGTGATAATATAGGAGCATTTTTTTCTGCTGCACATTTGAAACAAATGTTTCCCTCATATTATGAAACTACCTCAACCATGTTTCAGTTTTTATGCCGAGAGGGACGATGTGCTGGGGGAGGATCTTTTCCCACGGATTTAAATAAGACCGAGTGCATTAAATTTCATTACACAAAAAATGACAATTTCATACATGTTGCATGAAAAAACCTTGTAACGTCTCAATGAAAAGCAGAATATATGTATTTATTACAAAATCCATGTTGTTTGCATCAGTCATTACAGCAGACATGAACACACATCATGTGAAACTGTCGTTCTAAGCCTCAGCAGGCATGTCAGAGATTTGAAGTTCAATGTTTATTGCCATCTCTGTGATTTTTGATCAGCTTGTTCACCAGACATTTTCATGGGAGTGACATTTTATTTAGTTTCTTAGCCACAAAGCCCATTCTGTGTGCATTTTTAAGATATGACTAAATTTAACTTTTGCATAATTGCTCGCTGTGGATTATTGTCAGTAAAATCACTTTATGTATTTTTAAATGCTCTCAGTTACACACACCCACACCCCCAAACACACACACACACACACACACACACACACACACATACATACACACACACACACCTGAGGTTTTCTGTGACGTAAACAGCTTTTGAGGGTTTTGTCTGTTTAGTTAATTTTATTTGCCCATTCTTACAAAACGAAATTCATATGGCTTTCCTGTACCTGGTCACTGTACAAAGAGCGAATACATCAGAGTCAACAACTTCAACGTTTACATTTCCTGCTACTAGATGTAAGAAGATTTTTCCTGTGAAGATGGGGAAGTTACACCAGAGTGTTCCCACCAACGTTTACTACTTTTATGACAGGTGAGACGTGACCCTGATACAATCAACCTGAGACTGACATGAAATCTTTCCTTTTATTCAAAGTGTTTGTTCTTGTTGAGAGGCGGAGTTTTGTCCCTGTGTTTGTTTTGCATTCTTTCTCAAAATCTTATTTGGATGAAAAGCACCAGAGTTGAAATCACATGATTATTCTCTTCAACATGATTTCATGGATTAACAGACTTATTTACATACCTATGTGCTTGCCACATCGTGAGTTTGAGTCCTGCTCTTGCTTTGCTGTTGCTCTGTCCTATGATATTTGCTATTGCTTTTTTTACTGTGATCACTAAAGCACAAATGCATAAAGTTAGAGACTTAAGCTTAAAAAACATGTGTCCGGTCAAATATGAGCAGGACTAAGTGAAGATATAAAAAAAGAAAACAAACATAAAGACAGTCCCACAAAAACACAGAAATGTGTACATGCTTAGGAAAAACCATACAATAAAAAAATAAGAAGCATATCTCTGAAAAGTAATAAAAGGAATTTTGAGAAGACATTTGTGGCAAATGGACACCACCATGTAGAGATCTGTTGCTACAATGCATTTTACCATCAATTTTATACACAGCATAGCCCTTATAGATAGCGGAGGAGTGCATTTTTTTCTGTCCACCGCCTCTCGTTCCTCTCTGTGTGGACGAAACACTTTCAAAATATATTTTAGACAGTCTCATTTTGGCACAGCGATTTTAAAATGGCGCTCTCCTCAATCCACTGACATTTAGTGCTTTAGCTTCTCGCGTTCCTCGTTTCTTCTGCTGATTTGAACAGATTTTTAATCTCAGTCCAGTATATGTACAGTATATGTAAATATGTGCTGTATGCCACATGTTGTTATATAAGAGCCTTATATCATGAGGTTTTCTCGTAGATGTTGCTGGGTGGCGCCTCAGTGACCTGGAGGAGGAGGAAGCAGCGTCATTGTGTCTCTCTCACTGTGTTTTCCCAGTCATGCCTTTTTTCGTGGCCGCCTCCCCCCACAGCTCCCCGTCACTGTCTACCCCTCGCTCTTTCTCCTCGTCCCAGTAGTCGTCCTCTTCCTCCTCCTCTTCCTCTTCGACGGCCGACTCATATGTGGCTTTCTCCTCTTGCTTGATGGCTTGAATGGCGGGGGCGGCAGGGGCAGATGGGGGTGCAGATGGGGGTGCAGATGGGGGTGCAGATGGGGGTGCAGCTGCGGCTGCGCTGTCCCCTGAATCACTGCTGTCCTCGAAAGCTTCTGGGTTCTCCAGCATCTCCCTGATGAGAGGAGGCATGGGCCCTGGAATCTCTGTCTTCAGTGTGATGGCTCTTTCTGCACCTACAGGCACATGGATACTTTTTATTATGGTATGAAAAGAGGAGGAAGCCTAATAGATGATGTCCATTTTTCAAGCAAATCATTCTAGTTTCATTCAGGAGATCAAACTTCTTCAAACAATATGCAGATGATGCACAGTCTATTTCACAGAACTATTTTTGCAGGATTCGTATTCAAGGTGAACAATTTATATGAATTAACACTTGTGATATGGGTATTATGAGAATTATTTGATTATTTATTCTATTTCCAATACAAGACTTGAGTCAGATACTGTGAAGACAAGTAGCTGTACCAGAACTTTGTCTAAAAATAGTCTGATCTGATGGAGGAGCAGGTAAACACAACACTGAACAGACATCTGAATCCAACATTAAGTATTTTAAACTTGATGATACTTAAATACAATTCAATTTGTACCATAAAAATATTGAGGTTTGATTTCCCAGCTCTTAAACTGACTCTATGACATGTAAAGCTTTTGCTGACCTTTGGTGCTGATTCCTCTGAGATCCGTGACTTTCATCAGCATGCGTGGAAACATATGAGGCTTGTTGGGGCGTCTGCGGCGGGTGTAGATCTTCAGAGCCTCTAGCAGTGGCTCCTGCAGCTTGTCCACCTTCTCCGGCTCCTCCAGGTCCATACGATCTGAGAGAAAGAGAGCGAAGCACCAATGTGAAGAGTAAATATTAGCAGTCTACTTAGTGACACATAAGCTGATGGAGAGAAAACTGCAAAACAAGACAAACTAACACGTCCAAAGGCTCACAGTTCTTTTCCCTCAAATGTTCTGTCAGATGTCAGGTTTACCTCCACAGATCAGGCAGATGGCGCTGAGCAGCCCCGTCTCAGTGTCGTCCATCTCTAAAGGAAGCAGCTGACCGGCGAAGGCAAACACCAGGTCTGTGAGTGGACCAAAGCCGGCGTTATGCATCTGTGTCCTGTTGAGAGTCAGGCCATCTGAGAAGGTCATTGTGTCCTGCTCTGGTGTGTAACGAGTGCATATCCTCAGCATCTGAGCAGGGAGAGAAAATAGACAGAAGAAAAGAGACAGGAAAATAATTGTTTAGTAAAATAAAGGTGAACTTCAGTCCAAAAGAGTTTCATGGCAGCTTTAGTTTCACATTCAAATGTTTGTATCATACAGGAGTGTAAAGCAGCTTGAGAAATGAAGAAGCGTTAGGGAGGTGGAGGTGGTGGAAGGGGAGGGGGTTAAAGGAAGTAATGTGGTTGGTACCAGGATGTCCAGACATGCAGATTTGAGGAGGGTGATCTGGTCAGCGATGGTGAGCGTGGTGAAGCCTGGTAGCCGCTTGGCAAACTCCACAATCTTTATAATGCACTTAGTGGAGAGCTCACTGAACTTATCCCACAGGCCCAAGTCCAGCTGCACTCTGTGGTCAGCACTTGAGTTCTGGGAGAGAGAGAGAGAGAGGGACACTTGTGTCGGTGTGTGGCTTTGCAGAGTCCATATACTGTGTGTGTCCCCCTGGCAAAGCGGCAAACTAATGCTTGTGTGGTTTGTGGGGAGTTTGGGTCGTAGATGTGATTGTTCGACAAAACTCACTGTGGTGTATTTTCCGAGTTGCATCAGAGATGGAAAGGTCTCCTGGTGAGCTTTGCTGACTTTGTTCACCAGCTCCTCCAGCTCTCCGCTCAGCTCGTAGTTCTCTGGCAGCACCACCTCCTCCTTCACGTCCTTCTTCTTTTTGTTCCTGTCGTTACGCACCGCTGCAGGGAAAAACACACAACGCTCAAATCCACTGTCGTTTCTAAATAAGTAAAAAAAATAATCAGAAAAGGGATATTTTCTTACACTCACCTTCTTTGGACATGCCAACCTCGAAGCACTTCTGCAGCCGACAGTACTGGCAGCGGTTGCGGGTCACTTTGTTGATCTGACAGTTCTTGTCTCTGTGGCAGGTGTACACCATGTTCTTCTGGATACTGCGCCTGAAGAAACCCTGGAAGAGATAAAGGAAAACCTCTTGGATGTTGCTTCATGGCAGGAAAATGTTCCATGTGTTCATCTTATTTCCACCAGGGAGGTTATTTAATGCCAAGCAGGATTACGCAAAAACTATTGGATGGATTACCTCGATCCTTGGTTGAATAATGCAGCATGAGTCAGGGAAGAACCCAATAGAAATTCAATAGGGCATTTTTCAGAGAATACTTAAGGGATCTTTATAAATTAGACACATATGGGAACTAATACTTATGTGCATGGGGATTTGGTGCGGATCCGAATAAAAACCTGGATCTAGAGAATCTAAATGTGGTTTCATAAGGGGAATGTTGGGCCTTGGTGAATGCCTGCTTAGCTCTGTATGAATATGTGCAGAATTAGTAAAGATACACTAGAGGGCAGCTTATCAACAGCAAACATTCTGGACTGCTAACATCTGTCTCCTGAACATCAGCCCCCCACTTCTTCATCACACATACACCACAAAATATGTCTCTCTGGCTTCACGCACCTTGCAGCCCTCACAGGAGCTCACTCCGTAGTGATAACCGGACGACTTGTCCTGGCACACGAAGCAGGGCTTGTAGACCCGAGGAGGAGGAGGGGGAGAAGGAGAGCTGGGCACCATCTCCTCTGAACTGGTGCTCTGGGTCTCCACCGCTGCAGCAAGAGAGAGAGAAAAAAATACATTTATGGACTCTTATTATATCAGAGCATCTTGTTTGTATAAGCTCTCGAAAGTCTTTGAAACTATGATCAAAGCTAATGCAACAACTGATTAAGAGAGAGCGGTCAACAAACAACCCCCGACCCCATGCAGGCCCGGCCACCCCTCGGAGCCTGAAGGCAAGCTCAAAGGCAGACATTTTTAAGAGAAAAGGGAGGGGGGGGGGGTGTAGTGCTGATTGACAGCCTTTAAAGAGACACAATTAGCTGATGGCCAGATGGCCCCGCTGATAAAATGCTGATTGGCAGCTGAGATTTGATTGGTTTCTCCATTTACTGGTGAGTGTGGGGTGGGGGCAGCATACCTCTGTTGACTTTTTGACTGACATCTGAGTTTTTGTAACAAACACACACACACACGCACACATGTGCACACACACACGCGCGCACACACACACACACACACACACACACACACAAACACACGTGCACACGCACATATGCTCACAAATTTTATTTGAAAGGCTGTCCAACCAGACCTGCCTATATACCTCCAGCCCCATGTGAACAAACAGAGGTGGGATGTTTATGAGACTCTGCTGTCTGCCTGTGTTCCTCCTCGCTGTCGCTCTAAAGAAACTGTATAACACCATTTGCCGCCCAAACTCATTCAACTGCTGCCAGTGGAAACGCTCAGAACAAACAGAGTGAAACAGATGCAGAGACCAGAATAATCCTGCAGATTAAAACTGTGGTTCCTCGTACTCAGATGCAAACATGCTGAGTTGGACAGTAACACGCCTGGTACAGATTTAAAGGTGATGACTAAAGAACAACCAGATTCCTGCAAACATGCCTTTCAACTTTCACCTTCACTCACCCCAACTTCACCTCCCTCTGCCCATTCCCACCCCCACTCTCTTGTTTCCTGGCCCTAAATTCCTCGGCGCAGGCTGGACAGGGTTTAATAGTTGCCCAGGCTCATAAGAGGGCCCTATAAAGGTTGTGTCGGGGATGGGAAGGAGGCCCCCGGCCAGGCTGACGGTCTCTTTATTGGGATCCAGTCACCTTGGGCAGCTATTCACAACAACTGCTGCATCCTTGGATCCCTTCCTAGTAAAAATAAAGAATCTGGGGTCAAAAACCCCAAAGTCACAGCCCCTCCTGTCACCTTCAATGGAAAGCACAGGACTGAACCAAATGTGGCCCCCACCCCACCGCCGCAACCCCAACCTGAACCCAGAGCTTGTCATTAACAAGAGTGGTAAGGTTTCAAAAAACAGAGAGGCAAAGGCACAAAGGAATAGTCTAATAAAAACACAGAGGGAAAAATGAAAAGAGAGAAAAGGGAGAGAAGGAGGTGAGGCAGAGGACAGAAACTTCCCAGTGGTCGAGGGGTTAAATAAAATACTGAACATTTAACTTTGACCTTGACTCAAGAGGGTGATTCCTAAATTCATGACCAGCAGCTTGTTTTAACATCCACATGTGTGTTCAAATACAAAACAACACACAAGTTGCTATGACTTAATTAACTGAGAAATAGAACTTGATAATGACATGTTTTGTGTGTGTGTGTGGTTTAATGTAAGTCTGTGATTATTTAATAGATGTATGTGACTGACAGTTTCTCTCAGTGAGCAGAATCTGAATTGGAAACAGTAACTGGACAGTCATTACCACCAGTCATTCATTTTTTCATGACACGTGTGTAACTGTTGTTGTTGTAAATCCCATCTGTGAACAGTGACGTCATTTTTAATTGTGCCTTTTTAAAACGTTGGACATCAAAACGTTGACATTGAATCATTCTTTTTATTTTGTGTTATATTTTTTTGGAGATACATTTCACAATATTGACATTTAACATGTCAAAAAAGTGCCAAAACATTCCCTTATTCCAGCTTCATTTTTTTTTATCACACACAAATGTGTATTCTACACAGAGACACAACTGGATTCTAGTTAGAAGAAAATAACTAACTAAACAAGATTGGCCACTTTATCACAAGTGGTCTGTGTCTTGTGTCTTGTTAATTGTATGTTTGGCATCGAGGAGGAGGACTGTGCCACAATTTCGTTGTGCTAGTGTACGAAGTACGACTGTGCAATGACAGTAAAGTCTTTTGAATTGAATTTGAATGGAATTTGAATATCACGTATGTATTGAGACTAGACACCTCTGTCTTATTATCTGGATCCGCACCAAATTTCACCTGTTCATAAATATATATATTCTACACAAACCCATTTTTTCTTCTTAAAAAATTTCACAAAAATGTGGTAAAACATCCCATTTTGTAATATTAAATAACATGAAAATCGATCCAAACCCCACTCTCCCACCATGTCTCAATAAAATTTTCTCAGTAGTTTTGCATAATCCTGCTACGGCAAACCTAACCTCACTGGTGTGGGTAACAAAGAGAGAATAATAATCAGCAGCGATACATTATGATGAATAAACAATGATGCAAAGAGCTTCTCACTTGTGAGGATTAGCTGCTGATGTGTGTTTAATGTGATAATAACTGGATGTTGTTGATGTCTGGACTGTAAATCTGAACATGAACAGATTTGCAGACTGTAATTGAGCTTTAGAAAAATGCAATTGGCAAAAACATTAAAAAAACATTGAGATTTGTCTAACAACAGGTGAGTCTATAATATTCCAGAGAAAGTGTGATTTTCCCCTCACAGGTGTATCTCTCTAAATTAGAAGCTGCTGGGTGAGCAGCAGGTAAATACTGTCATGTGCTCAGTTCTGGGGGCTTTGGAGCCCAGGTGTGGAAGGTAAAGTGAAAGGTGGGGGTGGAGGAGGACGAGCAGCACTCACTGTAACCGGATCTTTGTTTTCTGTTTATACAGTAACACTGACAATGGAAAGCGGCCCTGCAGAGAACAAGTGGAAGAGAAGCTCCCCGCTGAAACGGAGAGGCTGCATCTGGCGCCAGGGGAGAGGTAGTGACTGACAGCGTCTGAGGGTGGTGAGAGCGGATGAGGAGGGACGTGACTCAAGAGAAACAGGAGGGGGGAGGCAGGGTGAGAGATGCTGGATGGGGAAGGGAGGGAGGGACTTTACCTGGTGTGCAGAAAAAAGGAGCAGAGCCAAAAGCTGTCAACAGCTGTCATCACCCTGAACTGAGCTCAGCCTCGGCCTGAAAAAACCACCTCCCTCTTCTTAACTTCCAGCTCAGCTCTGAGTGTGTCACAACATCCATCAGCAGGTGACCGCTGGAAGCAGCAGAGACACAATGACGCGTGTGAATTACCTTCATCAACTTCCTCCGATTCGACTTCTAAGCACTTCTGAACTATTAATCCAACCTGTCAGATTTTCCTCTCTGGTTTTTCATTGCCCTGCAGAACAAGAAGCTCTAGCTGCTCCACTTCCAGCTGCTGTCGCCTCAGTCAATGTAGTAGAATTCATTATCACTTCACCTGATCTCCTCTTGTTTCTGTGCCTCCCCCTCCCCTTCCCATTTACACTGCAGTGTTTGTTGTCAGATCAGCACATTAGTGTTTAGACAACAGGAGCTGCTCTGAAAGCAGAAACCTTCCTTATCTGCTCGGATGCCCGATCTGTCTTGAAACTCAAGGAATCAAGACATGAGTAGAGTTCCCTAAACCTGAACTGTAAAAGTATTTTCTGACAACAAGCAGCTACTCTATATACAGGAGTACTGTAAGATGCAGTGTACTGTTTTAGCAGACGGCTATAATGCCTACACTGTCAAACAATGTGTGTTTATGGGTTTGGGGCACAGCTACAGCATACTGTAAAGAACTGTGGAATCCTTAAAAACAATTTGATAGTGCCTAAACAACAGCTACAATAACTTTTAATGTGCTTTGTTTTGAGACAGGTGAGATATTTGAAGAATCTTGACAGCAAAATTCAAAAGAAAGCGTCATTTTTATTCAGATTTGATTTATTTTCTTTCACACAGTCCTCGAAAAGATGTATCTGGATGGTAAATCCATTTTTTACAGAATTCCCTGCCCTAAAATGCTCAGCAGCATACTGTGGAATGTGCATGAGCATGTGAATATGTGTGTGTGTGGGCTGTAGCATGGGACCATGGGCCGAGCAGAGTCTGATGTTTTTTTTCAATGTGACAACAATTATAGAAACAAACTTGGAGGTAAACAGTGGGATATGTGTCCTTCATTGTTAAATTGTCATAAGTAAAGGTGTCGTAGTTGAAGAAAATTTGATTTAAAAGTTTCAGAGTTAAAGCAACTTGTAAATGACATCCTACTTCCATGACATGCTCTGTCCTTGATGTTATAACATGAACAACAGAGCAACAGTCGGGGAGATTTTCAAGCTCAAATCTGCTGAGTGAGTAATTACCACAACAGCAGGGAGGAGATGGGGAAGACCTGAGTGACAATCCCTTTCATCAGCTGTTTTAAGTTCAATACCAGTGTCCTCCCCCCTGCAATCCTCCCCCCTCCTCGACCCTCGGTAATAACCCTCTTCCCCCCTCTGTCCTCCACTGCCTTCCTGCCCTGGCAGCAGGAGGAGGAGTCCTTCCTGTCACTGGCAGCGCCTTGTAAAGAGAAAAGCCTGTGAAAACCAGGCCACTGTCCAGGAGATGACTCCATAAAAACAGTGGAACCAAACACTTAAAAGAGGCAGATGCACACAAACACACACACACACATTTTCACAAGCTCACTTAAAAAACTGAAATCCTGGACGAATCCTAGCTGTAAATCTTGTTCTGCAATTTAAGATGTGCTGACGACATTTTGTGCCAAATGAGCATAAAAACACTCAATGGAGTTTGAACACGTGAAGCAAAGATGAAGTTTCTCTGCTGAACAACATTCATGTTATATATTTATTTCCCTCCTCGTGGTCACAGAGTTTTTGTCTGCAGTGTGTGGGGGAGGGAGCGTTTATGAGACAGGTTGTTAAATCATGGGTTTGTCCTCCCCATTCATCATACATACAATACAATACACCTTTTCTTCTTTATAACACG